TTCCTTTGCCATGGGATTGGGTCCACAGTGTTACAAGCGCTGGCCACGAGGCCCCGAGCCCGTCTGTAACTGAGGGATGCTCCTGCTCTGGGGCTGCCGGGTTCCGAGCATGTTTCTCCTGCTGCCACAGCCTGTCTGCCGTGGGGCACAGCCTCCCCGGAGCAGGGGTCTTGAACACAGGGAGCACCTGGGTGCACATCTGGGTGAATACCTAAAATATCTAAAATTTTGCTCTGTCTGGTATCCTGGCCGTCAGTCTCAGCAGGGCATCCCAGTGCTGAGTACGGTGAGGTGAGATTATTCTTTTTTTCCTTTTAAAGCAGCCATCTCTGCACCTGGGAATGCAAAGGTTGCAGCTGCTCAGCGGAAAGCAGCACTTTCCTCACTCATGGCAGCTTCCTATCTGCAATAAGAGGGGAAAAAAAAAACCCAAAAAATAGAGAAAAAAGGCCGCTCCAGGAATTTAAAACCCTGACACTCTCTAAAAGCAGTTTTAAGTTTATTTGAGAGCAAAGTGACTGTGCATGTCTCATCCAGCGCTACGCTCCAGCAGCCTTCCTCTTGCAAAACAGCTGCCTCAGGTGAAGTCTCCCGAACACCGAGGCTAATGGAGAACTTCGTTACCAAGTCCCCTTCCTGCTCCTTCGTGCTGCTGCTTTAGTGGAACTTTCCATCTCTGGGGCTGAGGAATCAGAAAAGGAGTGGTTTGCCTTGAAAGCTCAAGTGAGATGCAGCACAGAGTTAGGAGCTATGTACGTTAGGAGAACTGAAATCACTTGCAATTCTTGCAAAGAAACCGCTTTTTCATTAGTTTCTCTCTGAGGCTGACTAAAGACAATATGGCCTAGTAAAAAACAAGAGCAGCTTTTTTCCGCCCATCTCTTCCATTTCCCTGCCCCTTTCCCCTCCCTGTCAAAAGGGAAAGAAGGACCTAAACTCACACCCACATGTAAAACTGAACTGGAGCATTTCCCCACGGACAACAAAACACAGTCTCATCCACAGCTTTTTTTTCTATCTGTATTGAGCAATTTTACACAGAAGGGGACACTGAGTCTAGTGAGCAACTTACACTGGGCTTTACGCAGGCTGGGACTCAACCCTAGAATTGAAAATGAAAGCACTGGGAAAACGCAAAAATCTTGTTCCTACAGATGTACGTTAAATTTATAGTTCAATTATTTCTCTTTATCAGTGCCAGGATGAAGCCAGAAGAGGACATGCCAGCTGGTAACAACAGTGCATTTCTGCAATACCTTCCACTCGAGGAACAAAGAACAAAACACCACAACTGCCCACCCAAGGACCCTCTACCTCCAGGCTGCTCCCCGAGAGCACCCACCCAGCTCCCTGCCCCAGCCCGACGGCACTGACAACTCGTCCCCTGGGGCAGCAGCTACCGAGTTGTCACAAATGACAGGCTGGTACCCTGAGGACAACCAAGAAAGGGGACGCACTGCCTCAAGACAGCAGATCATAAACTGGGGCAGCTCAGCTATTGCCCCACAAGAGCATGAGCCTTCCTTGCAACAGATCTTCACGGAGATCTCCACCATGATGATCTTCATCAGTGGTGGAGCCAGACAGCAGTCGCAGGCACTACTGCAGCGGTGCTGATGTGCCTCGCTTGGGGGACAGACCCCTAAATCTCATTCAAGGCTGCAAGCCACCCGAATTTCCTGACTTATCTTGGACACAGAGAAAGCACAAGTTTGTACGTAGAGGTGTAACTTGTAAAAGGCCATACAGAGAGGCAGCAGGAGAGCTATGGTACGTGCTAACACAGTTCAAATGGAGAATACTGATCTCAGTATCAGTACCCTTCTGAGTCAAAGGGGACTAAAACCAGGGAAAAACAGAGTAATTCACACTAAGTCTTCAGCCCAAACAACACCTTTAGTCAGTCTTTGGATCTGCAAGTTAAAGCCTCAAAGTTTTAGATGCCAGGTTCAATACTGACAGATAACATGCCAAGGGGATTTTCCCAAAGGGAACAAAATCCAGAACAGATCTAGTTTTACATTGCAGGCCGTGGCTCCCACCAAACACACCATCAGTCTGCTGCAGCAGCTCAGCCTAAACTAGAACCCAGAAGCACCAGCAGACTTCTGCAGATTCCCATTCCCACACATCACAGAATCACAGAACCATGGAATAGTTTGGGTTGGAAGGGACCTTTAAAGGTCACCTAGTCCAACCCCCCTGCCGTGGGCAGGGACATCTTCAACTAGATCAGGTTGCTCAGAGCCCCGTCCAACCTGACCTGGAATGTTTCCAGGGATGGGGCATCCACCA